ATATAGACACTCGACTGCAGGCTGAGTCTCGCCACGATTTCTTCCTTGAAAATTAGACTGACTTTGGTTGATCATATCTCCCGTTCATTTAATCGATTCCACTTGTTATAACATTGTTGGAACAAGGTCTTAGCTTACTTCCTGTAGTTGGTCAGTCTGGTTAGTTACCATTTCCTGCACCGGGCCCCAGGAGGGCAGTGTAGATCGACTTGCACGTGTGTAATATTTATTATTATCATAATATCCTTTTAACGACGTCTGTCAGAGAGGCCGCCTGTCAGGTGAGGAAGTACAGTAGGCTCACCCAGGAAGGAAGTATAGCAGGCGTTTCGTCATCGTGGCATATCTTCACATTATGTCGATATAAACATGTATGTGGTACACACAAGGTTGGACTCCATTCTTGCTCGCTTTATACACACAATTCAATCCAATCCAATTCAATTCCTTACCAACAGACATACAATATAGAATTAGGACTCCATTCTTGTTCGCTTTAGTTATTTCATATTGTGAGTTTGAGACGGTATTTTGTTGTTCGACTATACATGGTGCATGAGATGTAATAATCACGATCCTTGCTGTTTTGATTAAATCAACAACATTTTGTTGTACTTGTACTTCCCCTCTTACACCGGTCACCACATAGCAGTTGTTTTCTATTTCAGTTAGCGCTGTGTTCGGTCAGTAAGTGTTTCGTTAAAATAAAGCGTTTCGTCAACCGCGTCTCATTGTGTCAACTAGTTTTGAAATTGTAACGTTATCCGTGGCAGTGCGCGGTAAAAAGTGACTTAGGGGTTTCGATGGTCACATTTCTAGTAATCTGCTGCAAAATGTTATTTAGTAGTTGAAATGTTAGTAGTTTAAACTACTAACATTGCTAGAAAGTGTAAAAAGTGGCGTCTTTGGGTTGAAAATTGATTTTGGGCTCGAGGCTTACTTCCCGCCCGTCCTTCCGCCTTGAGTGCGGTGCTTCGGTTTGACCCAGATATGCCTTTTATGTGTTCTGGGGGTTCTGTCGCTATGTGTCGCGCGACGGGCTATTGTGATAATCTCAGTGTTAGGATTTTCTGTATATTTTTCTTGATCATACATTCTCTTTCGACAGTATAAGTCATTTTGGTGGCTAAATTATTGGTGATGGGTTTAATTGCACGTAAAAATGCCCAATTTTTGGCATCATTTTTTTTCATCGAAAATTCTTTTTTGCCCTAAAATTTGCTACAATTTGAGAGGTTATGGAAACTGAAATTCGATTGTTCTCGTAGCTAGAGGGATATCCTTCATTTGCAAACAGTGTTTCGGCTTAAGAATTATTTCCTGAAATAGAGTTGAGGGTGTGCAGAATCGAATTGTGACCCAACATAAACTGGGGTGTGCCCCCTTATATGCTTTGTGTCGGCATACGCCGTCGCCCACGCGGCCTACTTTCAATGTTATTACTGATCCAATTGATCATTATGACATCTTGATGGGCACTAAGCAAGTACGTATTCTTAAGTTGCTTTACCACACCTGTTATCTTTCATCATTTTAGTGTAGGTCATAATTTTGTTTACGTAAAGTTTCAGCAACTTGACATGTTCCACCGTAAGTTTCCGGGGTGTCTATCCTGACACATATTTACAAATGGAAGCCAATGCCATTTGTTTCTCTGGGAACGGCTTCAATTTATTCATTCTTTTTCTCTCTTTGTCCCCGCAGGTGAGCTACGCCATGCCCATGCCCACTCCCGGGCTACAAAAGGAATTTACTGGTGAGATGGACAAACATCTGTTATCTTTTATCATGTAAGAGGGCGTCGGAATTTTGTTTACGTAAAGTTTTAACCACCTTACATGTTCCTCCAGGATTTCCCGCCCTTACCTCTCCCCTCTGATAAGACTTACCTGTCCAGATTGATTATTATATCAACAACGTGCCAGTATTTTCCCACCCTACATCAGGCCCTGAGTCCTGCAGCCTTTTCTCAGGTCAAATTCTTTACAACAGTACCTGAGACTGGGTAGAAACTCCAATCTGGAAGAAGTCTATTGCTATGATATAATAACATATCCTAAATGTTAAACATTCAATGAAATTGCTGGTAGCTGCCGGTATAATTTAAATAGTTTGTGATTGTCGTAAAACCTAAATAGCATGTATTTCTGTACAGTAAAATGTAATGATTGTAACAGCTGAGACTCTGATCAGAATATCTACCGGCAGAGATTCCAATCGGTGTTCCTTTTGAGTCTCTTGAAAGGCAGAAGTGGCATAAATTTATTCATTCTCTTTCTCACTGTGTGCCCACAGCGAGTGCCCCTCATTCACTCGACATTCACTGACAAGATGGACTAACAGTACCATTTACAGAAGGACAAAAACAGCGGTAAGTCCACACAATATATTTGCCGTTTCTGTTGATCTGGGGAACATGTAGTTCATGTGTTATTGTACTGTAACATCGTTCTTGATGAATGAACATACATATGACTTTCAACCTTTGTTTAGTTTGATGTGCGCATCATTGCATTCTGTAAAATGTATTGACTCACATGCTTTGCATATTTACATTTACTTCTAAAAACATGACCCTAAATCTTGTTAATTTAAGAGCAAAGCTAGGGAAAGGTTGGCATAGATTCATTTATGTTCTGTTTTCTCTTGCTGACCACAGGTAAACTTCGCCAAGTCCATCCTGAGATGCAGACTACAGCAGGAATTCACGACGCCAAGTTGTGGAAGGATCGGGGTGTGCATGCGAGTTTTTCACGCAAGAAAAATAAGCATTGAATGCAGCAGCATCGTAGCCTGGGTGCCATCCGAATTTGTAACGGCTACGGGCAAATTCGGATGGCACCCAGGCTAGCAGCACCGTGAAAGCAAAAAAAATCCAAGAATAAAAAAAAGACAATACTGACGCAAACACCCACACAAATGAATAAAATCCCTTACACAAAACATCACTATCATCACATAGTTAAGACAAAGGCTAGACCTGTTCCCCCTGTCCAATTACATACTTTGTAATGAAGCTGAAATAAATAAATAAATAAAATAAATATCGTAGAAACACTGTACAGACTACTGCATGTCTCATGCCACAAGCCTATGTATAAAGGCTGGTCCCACTACTCTCCAAGCAGAGGTTGTGGGGATGATCGTTAGCGGGGGTAACGATCTTCCCCTCCAACCTCTGCTTGGAGAATAAGTCCCGCAAGGTATAGCCAAAAAGCAATTCCCTAGGGAATGCATTGGCGGAATTCTTAGAATATTTTCAACTCAATCGCAGTACTATACCAACGGCTCCGCCCCTGAGGCGTCGCCAAAAATTGAGATCGGGGGGAGGGCCACGGAAAAATATTTTGACCGGACTTCCAACGCACCAGCCCCCCCCCCCCGGTAAATATTGTACAGTCCCATATATGCGATGATGTTGTCGGGATCAAAATCCCCTCTATCCGGATCTTCTTCTTCATATTCCGCCATGTGTTACCTTGTAAACTTATAAAACCACCGATAACAACAGCCGAAATAGACAAGAAGCAAGAGAAAGTAGCGAGATTGAATTGCATCGGACGCCCGAACGTTGACCTAGCTCTTTTAAGAACTTCACGATTACGTCATTGTGAAGGTATGGCGGCGGCCAGTCTGTGAACGCTAGGCGCTAGCCCCAACTTCAAACGGCCGGTAGCGCTCTAAACTACGATGGAACGAACTAAGTGTAGAAATCACATATCAGACATACCATGCATGGTGTAAAGACAGATTTAATCGAATGTCCTGTTTCCCTTCACTGCATGTAAATCACCCCCATGAAACTCCTTCCTCTTCGCCCCCGCCGTTCTGCTTCGCCCCCGCCCCGTTCTGCTTCGCCCCCGCAAAAAATCTGCTTCGCCCCCGTCGTTCCTCTACGCCCCCGGCGCAATTCTGCTTTGCCCCCGTCCTTCTGCTTAGCCCCCAATGGCGGCACAGCTCACAGTCGACACGAAAATCGTCTGCAAAATAACAATAAAGGCTGTGCCGCCAAATTTAAAGTAGCCCATGCTCCGGCAAACATTCTGGACCACCTTTCTGCCAAGTGGCGTTGCACAAATCCTTCCCATTCAAAAGTTTACCCCTACCTCACGGCACGTCAGCGGGTTCCGCTGACTTTCTCTCCTCCGCGTGACTCTCTTTCGCGGTTTTAGCGGGCTTTTGGGAGGTCCGAACCTCCCGCACATCCTGCGACGGTGTCTTGACTTTCTTGGAAGACATCCCGGTTGTAAAAGGGCTGACAACGACGCGAAAAAACGGAATCAAGCTTGATGAAAAGCTGAGTAAAACTCTCGACGTATTTCCAATATGGCGCGCTGTGGCAGAGTATTTTGTTGTAAAGAAGACCACTGACGGGCCGTGACTTTCAATCATGGACAAGATCTGCGGAAAAGCAAGTCATTAGTCAATGCCTTTATTTTACTTCGACATGACAAGTTATGCAGGGCTCGAAATACTGGGTGCATGTGCACCTTAGTGCACCCAAAAATTGGAGCTGTGCACCCATTTCTTTTTCTTTGAGTGCATCAGTGCACCCAAATATTTTTGTAGGTATTTTGTACATATGAAATGAATAATAGTATGCAGGATATTCGTGGCATACAAGTGTCAGGAACAAAAGGTTGTAAGTTAGCTCCAATTAGTTGTACGTTCCAATTTTAGATTCAAGCTCAAAAGAGAAGCAGTAAGATCTGTAATTAATTTTTATTTCATATGGTGAACCAAACAATTTCTTTGTGCACCTAATATTTTAGGTTGGGTGCACCAGTGCACCTATTACAAACAAGACTGACAATGAAAACATACATTGCCATGGCGACGGTGGTTTCTGTTAGGGTTATTGGTTGCATGGCACTGCCATGATTTTTAAGCAATGGAGGATTGAATTTAATACACTTGCGGGCGTAGAATACTACAATAAAAGCCTCTTGGGCTACAAAACTTTAGTTTCACCCCGAGTGGATTTCATCCTGGAGAATAGTTTTCCATCCTCAATTAAGTTTCCGTTTGTTCCCCTTCTACCGTCCTCGGTGAAATGCCTTTGTTTAAAAAGATTTCACTGAAGTTTTAAAGCCTGGTTTACATTTCAACGCATAGAACCCATGTCGCCAGCAAATATACGACATCAAATAAATTATACCTACAGTGAAACTACAAACCACACAAAGTCAGGAAGTTAGGTTCCAAATGTATTGAGAGGTAGACTGACAAATTCACAATGATTATGATGAATAAAACACGAAATTCACCAATTTGAAAACAAAATATTTCACAGTGGTACGAATTCTCTAAATCCTTCTTCAGTAGTACAACTACTGAACACATCTAAAGGAAAACCTAAGAACATTGCCAAATAAAAGTTACTCAAGTAACAGGATATGATTTTGGATGTTTTAGAACACCCACTACCTTTCGCCAGTGAAACTAGAGACTTGCAGGAGAAAGGTACTCTCCAAGCAGAGGTTTATGGTGGAAGATCGTTTCCTTTTTATGTCCGTTTTTTTTGGTGGTGGTAGAGACAAAAAAAACGGACCCCACCACAAAAAAACGGACCATATATAATAAGCAAACGATCTTCCACCATAAACCTCTGCATGGAGAGTAGGAGACATGCAAGTTTATAAACACGAGCTATTGATTGATATGCAAATAAGTTAGGACAATTTTTTGGAAGCCCAAGAGGAAACAAAAGCGTTTTGGCATATCTTTAACCGGATGTCTAACCTTCACACACACATTAGAACATTGCATACTCTAATGTACAAATGTAGAGAGCAGTGAATAAATAAATAAAAGCCATTTACAAGGGACAAGGCACCTGCAACTCAGTGTAATATACAGCTACAGACATGTTTATAAATACTTGCATGATGAATTTTCATGGTTATGTGTGAACAGTCTAGTACACCAAATATCCTACACTTATTATAAGTTTCACAGATAACAAAGACTAGTAGACTATCTAGCATAATGATGTGAACATTATTCAAGGAAAGGAATATTTCAATAATAAATATTAAATATCACATGCAGTCAGAATGATTGTTTTTGCTCTAAACAGCAGAACAACAAGAAGCAGAACAATCACATTGGTCAAGTAAAACAACAGTTACTACTAAATACTTTCAACTTTCTAGTTGCATTAATGACATCTGTAATGGTCGCTAAACAAAGGTACAACGTGTACTACATGATGAAGTAGTGCCCTCTGACCTGGAAGAGTTCAAATAATCTACATTAGGCCACACCAATTTAATTTGCTGCTTCTCGGATCGCCCTGTCCATTTTTTTTTGATTTACAAAAAAAAAAAAAAATTCGGTATAAATTAACTGCAAAATGCATAATCAATGAAAGACATATTTTGGCCCCAACAGTTCAAAAAAGTCCTTTTCTTCCTACTTCTCAAGTTTTTCAATGTAACAATGCAATTTTGTTTCATTAAAAGTTCAAAATCTATTGTTTGAATTATAAACCAGCCTGGTATGTTCACTTCATGGCTCATATTGTAACATTTCCAGCTATCATGGGGTGCCTTGGCCTGTTTTTTTCTCTTTTTTTTTGGCCCTGTCGCTGCTGATTTTTTTCAGAAAAAAATCCGAGAAACAACAAATTAAATTGGTGTGGCCTTAATTTGATGATAGTGAATCTTCAGCTTGGTTTGGTCAGGACTGCAGAGGTTCTGCCAGTTCAGTAAAGCTGGTCACAAACCACTTGGCCTTCTCCTGGACACTCTTTCTGAGAACGTTTCCTCCAAAGCCGATAAACGCTTCCTGAACAGAGAGAGTGAGAGAGAGATAGAGAGTTGTCAGAATGGAGCCTGCAGAATCTGGGCTCGAAATACTGGGTACACGTGCACCTTGCTGCACCCAAGTTGGAGTTGTGCACTTAATATGGTTTTGTGCACGCAATTTTTTAACATTAGAAATGTATAATAGTATACCGGATATTCTTGGTCTCTTAGTATCAGAAAAATAATAAAATCTTTGTTGTAGTTTTAAGATTTTGAAGTTAGCTCTCATTTTAGATTTAAGCTCAGAAGAGGAGCAGACAGTAAGACCTGCAATTAGGTTTTGTTTCATATGGTGCAACCTAATTTTTTAGGTTGGGTGCACCGGTGCACCTTGCCTGAAATGAATTTTGAGCCCTAGACCTGAGAATTGACATATGTGTATAAAGAAAAAGTGTGCTGACATGGCTTGTATAATAGTACAGTTATGAACTTGCAAACAAAAAATCAATGTATTTTGGGAAGTACATGTACAAAAAAATGTATTGTGATCTTCTTCACCCTGTTTTTTATGTCTGACCTTTCAACTCTGTCATTCTGCCTGTCAATCTTCCTTCATCCACATGCTGTCAATGAATGTACTCTGGACAAAGATACACACAAACCCACAACTCAGCCCCACTATTATACATCTGTATGTAGAAGTAAAACCTGAAAGCTACAACCACAGAAAGGTAATAATCATCATCATTGTTCATTATCCGAAGATGTGGAGCAGACAAAGTTTGACCTCCAGAATTGCTTGTCATTCATTGCTGAAATAAGTTCCAGGCCCTCCAAGCCTGTTCCATGCAGTTTCTTTAAGTTTCTTAAGTGTTATGTTTGGGCATCCAGTCCTTCTCTTTGTGTCAGGGTTCCAAAGTAGAAGTCTACTGGCTGGTTCTTTACTACGTACAACATGACCGGTCAAGCTTAGTCGTTGACATTTAACTACTGTACTGGCATTTGGTAACGATCCGTATAAATGTTCACTAGTACTACAAATGTATGTTACTGGGATAGGGACTCCTGAAAAGGTATAAGACTAGGTCTATTGTGCCCATATGAGTTAGAGACAGACCTACCGCAGGAGGGCAGGCTTCAGCATCAGTCAGACCATCACCAACAACAACAACCCTGTGAACAGAAACAAAGACTGAAAATGTCAAGCTAAGTACATGTACATGTGTCTGCATTGTCAAGAGCAAGCCATACAATGTCATACACACATTTATGTCATACCTGGGCCGCGATTACGTTTGATACGGGTGTTCCGGCCCGTGTGATAACTTTTTAAGCAGTACGGCCCGGGGGTTCTTTACGCGTACAGTTTGGGCTTACAAATTTTTCAAAGAACGATTCAAACGCCTTTCGCCCTAACCGCGTGTACCGCTTTAGGAAAATCAAATACAGAATTCGGACGTTGGAATTGATGTTGTTGCATTTTTTTGGTTTAGGGATACCAAATTTTTGCTCATTTTGCATTGAAAGGCGTGTTTTCTTGGGTGACTATGACATAAATAAAATATAACACGGTGTATTCCGCATCGCCCTCGGTCCCGGCCCTCCCAAGGATCGGATTTGGCCGTCGGGCGATCCGACGCGCGGTCGGCTGGTACCTCAGGCGATACGGAATACACCGTGTTGTATTCTATATGTACGTTACTACAAAATGTTGTATGCAACATATTAAACAGAAATAAGCAAAGTACAAAAAATAATTGGCAACGCAATTGAAATTTGAATAGCTACTTTCTGCCTCAATCTTTATGACATGCAAGGTACAAAACATGATTTTTGTTGCCTATGCCTTTTATACTAGCAAAAACATGAGGATAACATTACACTAGACAATTACCTCCCTCGTAAGTTGAAGTATAAAAAACTGTGACAATTCTACAACATGTTCCTAAAATACATTCAGTTAATGCTATAACATTCAGATACTTATTAGGGTAATTTTTAGACCTCAACATGTCATTATCATAATTATCTCAATTCAGTAACTGACCTCTTGTATCCATGAGTGTCTTTCAGAAGCTGTACCACCTTTGCCTTCCCCCCCGAAGCTGAGGTGGGCTGGTCCGTGTCAAAGGTGACATACTCCCCTGGAAACAACACCAGTACAATATGATACATACACATGCATCATCTCCAGTTTTCTTTTTAAAAGCAGCTTTTCAACCTGTCAGTGTACTTCAACTAAAGAGCTATTTCTGAGCAAGACTATTCAGTAAATCCATTTCTGCTGATGAAGCAAGATCCAAGGAAATACTGGGTGCATTAGTGGCCGCAGCGTGCAAAATACCTGTTTGCCCAGTTGCCCCGGGCAACCAAATTTAACTTGGGGCAACCTATTTTTGAACCAAGGTTACTCAGTCTGCTAAATGATTTTTAACACCCCCACCCCCCTCCAAATCATACCGACTTGGCTTGCACCACTGTATCCGGCAGATGTTTTTTAATTTCACTAAATTAAATATTAATCACTATTACTAGAATCAGTTAACTAAAGGCTGTTATAGAAATATTGCCAAAGGCTTATGCATTTAACATTACTTAATTTGAGGAAAGTAGTAACTAGGTGGAGTAACCTAAAATTCTGATGGGCAACCTAATTTTTGCCGTAGTATTTTGTATACTGATTAGTTTTTGTTCACCAAGTTGGAGATTCTCCCCCCCCAAACATAGTTGAGAGTAGGTCGAGAGAAAGGTCGCCTGTGGTTGGCTGGTTTTCGGCTTCAAAATGTTTGAAACATATGGGTGTTGACAGAAGGTTCAGCCATGGTTGGCTGGTTGTACATCAGCTGTTTTCAGGGTGTGTTTGGGGATTAACTTTGACTCAAATTTAACTCAATATTGATTTCTTTCATAACTAAATACTGGCATGGCCTAAAACTCTTCAGACTGGTACATAATTTAGCTAACCTTGATCGTGTGAGTGAGTGAGCAAGTCTGTGATTGATTGATTGTGTGATTGAGTGAGTGAGTAACTGAGTGAGTGAGCAAGTGTGTGAGTGATTGAGTGTGTGAGTGAGTGACTGAGTAAGTGTTTGAGTGAGCAAGTGTGTGAGTGATTGAGTGTGTGAGTGACTGAGTGAGTGACTGAGTATGAGTGACTGAGTAAGTGTGTGAGTGAGTGACTGACTGAGTAAGTGTGTGAGTGATGAGTGAGTGACTGAGTGAGTGTGTGTGTGTGTGAGTGAGTGAGTGAGTGAGTGAGGAATTTTAGGTTTTGATCCATTTCATCTGTGACCTTGATTACCAGTAGCCTTAAGACCTTGATAAGGGGTGACCTTAAATAAAAAGTACAATCTGTAACTAGGAAGAAAGCAGAACTTACCCTGGTCATTGAACAAGAGTTTGTTGGCAAATATGTTTTCCGTGGGAACCCCCACCAGCTGGGCTATCGGCTCTATGATTCTGAAGAAGCCACCTGAGACAAGATACACGGCCGTGCCTCGCTTCTGCAGCAGTGAGATCACCTCCCTGAAACAAAGAGCATTGAGAGTATGAAAAGAACTGTCCATATGTTTGGTGCACCTTATATTCCTTCTTCAATATGATGATACAGAAATACTGTGACGTGCTACGAAGTGTTAATGATTGTGTTGTAATAATATTGTTGTGAACCAACCCACTGTGAATCAAATGTGCACTGCCAGACAAATCCCCCCTATCTTAGAAGTAGACCATTCTTATTACAGAACACCCCTATCTTACAGTAGAATAGTCCTACCCAGGAACCTCACTCTGGTGCTATAGGAGTCCTGGAGGCAGGACAATAAACTATGAAGATCCACCAAAGTCCTGCTGTGTGTGACCAGTTCTTTACAATGTAGCAGAAGAACTTGCAACAAATATCAAGATTGGACTAGTTTATATTTGTTTGAACCTTTAACTAATTACCTTTGCCAAGAAGGTTACATCATTTAAAGTGTGTATTCCACCCATATGACTGCAGTTTCTGGTCTATAAGTTATTCTGTCCAACTACGGATGTCATTAACAAACACTTCAAAACATTAATGATATAATCTTCAATTGACAAAGACCAATAACCCTAAGGCCACACCGATTTTTACATTGGTGTGGCCTTAGAGTTATTGGTCTTTGTCAATTAAAATTGTAGTTCTTGGATTTTGAAACTCAAGTCCCCTAAGGATCTTTCCCAAACAGGTGCATGCATGTGTAGTTAATTTGGATTCTCCGCAGTTTGAAATGAAACGGTACGGCACACATAAATATAGTGAGTGCCAGGGACATAAGCAACAAATGCAATGAAGCTAGGTTATGATTCAAACAATGAATTTCAAACCTTTAATCAATTCACTGAATTGGCAGATAAAAAAGCTGTAACAGCTCTGGAGAGGAGGGACTTTCTTCAAATGTTATGCATTTTAGAGTTATTCAGAGCCTACATGTAAAATGCTGCTTTTTGGCAAATCTGAAAAAAATGACATGGGTGAATCCAAGAACCTACTCCTACTAGTATATCATATATATGTGTTTTACGACTCCGCTTACAGGATATATACATAAAAGAATATCACACCTCTATTCAAAACAATTCAAAACTTTCTATCTATTCTATGTTAAATAGAGGTATGGACAAGAACAATATCTTTCTGTATTTCTGTACACAATTTTGAAGTCCGTAGGGCAATTACTAAGATTAGAATTTGTAGCCATAGATTAAATGTTGAAATTGGAAGATATCACAAAATTCCACGAGACCAAAGGTTTTGTCCATCCTGTCCAAATGAAATTGAAGATGAGCGCCACTTTATTATGAATTGTTCACAATATGATGACAAACGCACAAAGCTGTTCAACCTTCTCTCCGCATGCTCAACAGAATTTGTCTCATTTAATGCTATAGATAAATTTCACTACATTCTAGAAGGTGACAACCCATACTGTGTACAAATCGGTAAATATATTAAAGAATGTTTAGACATTAGAATAAGTAGTATAAGTGATACCTAGACTCAAAACGTTGAGGTTTTTTTTCATAATCATGTACGTAGATTGATTCTTTTGTACCAATATGTCTGTATGTATGTTTAGTTTAGTTTAGTTATAGACCTTACGAAAGTCTCTGTACTTTTGTCGTGTCAGTAAAGTTTCATATAAAATTGGTTTGGCCTAACTACAACACCACTAAGCTTGCTACATACAATGTAATGCAAAGGTAATTACAGGCTCTCGTTCTTCCCTCATACCATCAAACATACCAGGAACAAACTTGAGCCTGGTGTGGCGGAGGCGAAGTCCATCTCCCAGTTCAAAACTGGACTGGCGAGGACCCTGCTGCATTGAGTTGCCCATACACGTTTTGTATATATGTATATATATATGTGCTACTAACACACTAAATGCACTTGTCTTGTCTTTTACACCCACAGACTCAGTTATTTATGTTCTTTAGTGTCCCCTCCTTCAGTTACCCTTGCTTTTATTTGTACCGGTCACCTGTTTTGTAACTAACACATGTGCAGCTGCTGGTAATCCAATGTAAATCGGGTAAAGCAGTACTTAAAGGAAAGCAACACAAAAAATTGAAAATCCTACTATACTTAATCTCCAAGCAGATCTATGGTGGGGGTAAGACAGTATCAAACTGGCCAATTTGATACCCCCACCATAGATCTGCTTGGAGATTAACTATACTATGCTAAATATACTAGTACCCCAAAGTCAAGTTCTCGCTTGTTTTACATAAGTCCGTCATAGTTCTGGGATTTCCCAACATTTAAACTTGTGCCGTGATGACAGCTACTTACCTGATAATTAAGTTAGGTGATGTCACTGATCTACATTTACCAACCATAATGAATAGTGCTTTTAATTTGACTTTTCTTGGGATGGATTTCGAGGAACTTTCCAACGAATTTGAGGAAATTGACGAGTTTGTGGGCTTTCAATTCAGAAAGATCCTGGAAATCCATCCCCAGGAAAGCCAGATTAAAAAGGTCTATTCATTATGGTTGGTAAATGTAGATCAATGACATCATCTAAATTAATTATCATCTAAGTAGCTGTCATCATGGAGCAAGTTTAAATGTTGGGAAATCCCAGAACTATGACGGACTTATGTGAAACAAGCGAGAACTTGACTTTGGTATCTATTTAGCATAGTATAGTAGGCTTTTCAATTTTTGTGTTGCTTTCCTATAAGAATGATGATGATGATAATGATAATGAGAGTGCTGGCCTTACTTGACCCCAGGTGTGAGTTTAGGAGGATGGTCCTGCACAAACTTCTGTACCGTCTGCAGACTGGGTTTGAAGAGCTCCAGCCGTAGTGTCAGGGCTTCACGGAAAGACATACCATTCCCCATGGCTTCTTTAGTACTGTGGGGAACAGGGAAAAAAACATTACTGGGAAAAAACTGTTGTGTTTCCTGTTTCAGTTCTAAAAAATTAGGGTCAGTAGGTAGAGATTATCTTGCTTGTTTGTTTGTTTATTGTTTATTTAACCAGAGAAACAAATCACCCTGGAGGGCGGTTTTCAGTGCACCCTGGGGGGCAATCCCCAAACACAATAAAATAATAATATAAAATAATCGCTGAGGAAACTATGTACAATCTAGGGCAAATTAAAATAAAATTTAAAGGTAACTTAAGCACAAACTTAATTAAAAGAAGAATAAGCGGTCCAAAATAGGCATACATCGAATAATATCATGATCAAATCAATCAATCTTCTTTTTTCTTTTTCTTTTTTAGACTTCAGTGGTATATTATATAGGAGTTCAACTTATCAATACAGTTTAACAAAGTAAAACGTACACGAGGACACTTATTTTCACTGCCATTGTTAGAAAACCAATTGTACAAGATTTTATCACTCAGGTGTCAGATCATGGAGCTAGAAAAGGTTGATCAGCTCAAAAAAATTATGTCCCTTGCACTTGCAGGGGTCCACCCCCAAAAAATTCTAGGGTTGGCAGATTATTCTAGGGTCGGTCAGGAAACAGGAAACAAAACATTGTTCTTCCCTAAGCTAAGGCCTTGTGTAATGGACAGCAGGGTATGTGATATCTGTATATATCAGATATCATAGTTGAACTCAATAGATTCCCTTTACCAGAATGAAACTTGTAACTAAAAACAAGTTACTCCAGTCTTAGATGTTTGGTGCAATATACCTTTTACATGATGATACAGAAATACTTGGAAATAATGTAATTTCTATATGAATCCACTACGTAGACTGTTTGAGTATACTCATAATTATACGAAAATCAGTTCTCAGTTGCAATAAAGAACCACATGTTAAAGACTATCATTACTACACTTGACCGAAGGAGGCTTTAAAATTATCAAATATATCTAAACCAAAAAAGCAGAATAGTTGAAGAGGATTATGACATTAAATTGTGTATGCAATTGTGTGTTTTTGCCTGTTAAAAAATGTCAGGCAATGGCAGTGATTCATGTGGTATAATATGTTTGATATTTTGGTATGTATTACCGGGTCATTTTGGGAATATTTGTTAAATAAACATATGTTTATCTCTGGAGATGTTTATGAAGGGTTTTATGTCAACTTGAAGGTGATATTGTACACTACATGATATTGTCTACTTCTTTTAAGAATACTTTGTACTGCCATACTACGGACATGTTTTAACATTTAATGTTAAGTTAGCTATAGAATCATTCTATAGCTTAAACTTAACATCAAATGTTAAAACATGTCCTAAAATGTTCTGAGGTTTTAGCTACATGACAGTGTAATTTCCCCCAAATGAATTTAGTGGCCTAAGTTTGCCCAGGTGTACTCACAGCTGTGCGACCCTGTCCCCTACTCCGCAGTAGTTAGCCAGCTCGTCCAGACCCTCCTCCGTGATAACTGTACTGTCCACGTCAAAACACACGGCGTCTGCCGTCTGCCAGGTCCGCCGCACGTCTGCTTGGTCCGCCATTGTGGTGTAGATTTGTGCCCGAGACAAGACTGCTGGTCGATACTAACGTTGGACAACCTTTAACCTGACTTAGCCTGTAAAGAACATAAAGACATCTTTTTGAGAAACATTAGTGAAGGTAACCCTGGCCCTGAGGCACAACAGAAGCGATCTCGTGTCACATGCACGCCTGTACTTTTCCACTCAGCTGTCCTACTTTACGAGGCCGAGAGCAGCTGCAGTAAACAGGCCGATTATTCAACTAAAAACTTAACCTTCCTAGTACTATAGAAATCTTACCGTCAAGAAGAAGCTTTCAGAGCGATGACAAAGTCCGCAGTACGTATGTATCGATTGTTTGTGGTGTAAATAAATGAATGTTGGACCTCCCGACTGCAGGAACTGTCCACGCGCCACGCCGCCACAGAAAACTTAACCCCTCACCTATAACCTATGACCTACTGTATCTCCAAGCAGACGTTAGGTACTAAGGCCGTCCTCTGACGGACAATCAAAATGGAGGGATTGCCCATAATAGTTGGCATATTTATTACATGACAACGTTCATGGCAGATGGTAGCAAGAGTTCATACCGGATCTCATAGCTTATAACGACATCTAACTATATATAGCGCGTTTTATATATCTTACAGGTGACTGGGTTTGCGGGAAAAGCTGCCCCGTACTAGTATGATCTAGTATTAGTCCGTTCTGGTTTATAGGGGGTGGACTTTGGTTGTTTTGCGTCTGGACAGAGTAGGTTGACAGCGCGTGGGTGGAAGGTTGATACAAAGGGAGGTCAGAATCTATTCGTCTGCTATTCGACACGAGGAGGAACCCTAAGACATCCTCCACAGACTCCAGAGAGAGAGAGATAGATAGATAGATAGATAGATAATACATAGATACATAGATATAGATAGATAGATATTTATATGCAGGCAGTGCCCTCACCCCAACCCTTAACAACAGGCAAATCCATTACGAATACCATTTTCAGGACCACGGGGGTGTCCCGACCACTTCAACATCTTTTTTTTCGACGCCCATAAACACAGTGCAATTAAAAGAATACGTTCTGCATCATCTGCAGCCCAATAGCAATACGTATACCGAACGCCAGACAAATCCGTCCAGCCGATCGCGAGAAACAGCTGCTGACAGAAATGTTTCGCACGATAGTAAAACCTTCTGGCGGAAGGATATCTCCTTCCCCGGGGGTAATAAAGAAGACAACGGTAACGAACAGATAATAATAATAATAACATAAATATCAATGGTCCGTTCCAATTTGTCGTTATTGACTGTTAACTACTGGGAATTTAATTTTTTTCGGCATTTGAACGTTAAAGAGGCATTATTATGTAACATTATTGCACCAAAACTTAATATGTTTATTTAAAAAATAATATGATCGTGATAAACTTTGAATTCTTTTTTCAACATATTTGTGCAGTTATCTGGTACCTGGTCACCATGGCAACCGCAGTAGCAACGATGTTAACCATACTTACACGAACTAAGATGGTCTAGGCAGTACAGACATTGTTACCTTAGCTTAGCGCTCTCTCCCGCGCCCAGGCAATTTCAGTCGCAGAGAGAGCACAGTGAGAGCGACGTCCTAGATATGGGGTCCTTACAGCCTTGCATTCCACAGCAGGATGCAGGATGTACAAGAATAACCGTGAAAGCAATAAAACGTTCAACCTTTCGTTATCTATTTCCGCAGAAAGGTCGCCGTAGAGATTCCACTTGAGCACGCTTCTCGTGGAATTCGGCGCTCTCTCCGCGCTCTGCCCAATTTCAGGTCGCAGAGAGAGAGCCACGAAGTGGAATGGGGGGCCTTAGGCTTAGCACGTCATTAGTCTTCCAAATGAGATGTTCTGAGGTACCGCTCTTTCAGCTGTTTATGTTTGGTAAAAAAACGCCCCACATTGATGAGAAATATCACTGAATTACTGGAAAAACTTTAATGATCGCCAACTGTCCGGTGTAAAATGGTTTATTAGTAGTTTGCCCTGCACGGGATATTTGCGACACCTGGCGATCAATGAAAAAGGTTCAGAGCCCCAGGAAAACAGCGATAAGGCCACAGCAAGTAAATTTTATGGATGACATCCTCCGCAGATTCCGAATCTAATGCGAGCGGGCGAAAAATAAACAAGGCGGGCCGAAAAAAAACAAGGTTCCTACAATCTAAAATTTTGACACAATCATTGTATAAATTGTTTTGAATCAGTGGGAACATCACATATACACAGCCGGCATCACATATCACTGCATCAAAGTCATCATCATCATCAAAGTAAGAAACAAACATTAAATCAGAGCCTTTTCTTGTCTCCTCAGTCCTAATTATCTGCCATCCACCTTCCGGCATGGCAACAGACATCTTTGCCATTCTCCGGCATGTTGACCACTGTCAGAAGGCAACAAAATTTCTTGTTTTTTTTTTCAAAATCAGGCGAAAATCAATGCTGTCATCCTTAAAAATTTACTTGCTGTGGCCTAAGTCTTAACTCTGTTTTAATAAATTCTTATTTCGCCCATGTAACCGAACTGTTAAATGAAATGTGATAATGACAGTATTATACAAGACCACAACATGTATCTTCTTGCTGGAGACAAAGGAGACAAGATTCTTGTTTTATCTTGAAAGTTCATCTGTGTTGGTAGACAAGTCATTATGAAGTAAGATTAAACTGTAATTTCCAACACAACAAATTGGACTCACCCAAATTTTCGACTGTACAACTCCAGTCAAGGAATGAGCAATCCACCGCTTCCGTGACGTCACGCAGATAACACATGTGACTCCGTGAGCAGTGGATCATAGGTTGCAGAAAGTCTGTGGCGCCCCCCGTCTCTGTTGGGGGATGGCTGTAACCTAGCCTTGAGCGATCTTTCAGTCTCTCCGATATAGGTTTCCTTACATGGGCCCTTGGAATTCTGTCCTTGACACTGTATGTGGTACAGCACCCCACATTTGCTTTCCTTTGGTGTTTTGTCCTTTGGTGAAATTAGTATATTCCGGAGGGTTCTGGTTGGTCTAAAACAGGTCTTAATCCCGTATGTAGCAAAGATCCTCCTGAGCCCTTCACTCAGGCCTTTTCTGTAGGGCAGGACAACTAGGCCTCTATTCGGGCTCTTGTTCTTGTTCTAACTGGTCCTGGTTACCAACTGTGGGTTTTGGTCTATTGGCCTTATCTAGAGCCCAAGTGGGGTACCCACACTTTCTTAGTGCCTGTGAACTGTGAACTTTCTCCTCTTCCGTACGTCTTGGGGGTCAGTAATAATTGTTTCCGCCCTGTGGAACAGGGTGCGGATAACCCCGAGTTTATGTTCCAGGGGGTGATTAGAATGGAAGTTTAAATATTGGTCAGTATGTGTGGGTTTGCGGTATATCTTAACCTGCAGGGACCCGTCCTCTTTCACTGTTGTTAGCGTGTCCAAAAAGGCTAGTGACCTATTCTCTTCCTCTTCAAATGTGAATTTTATGTCAGGGTCAAGGTCATTTAGATGTTCTATGAACTCTTGTGCGTACGCCTTCTTAAGCTTGGTAAAAGTGTCATCAACGTATCTGTACCACCACACAGGGGGGTGTGGGGCAGATTTAATGGCACGTTGTTCTAAATAATGTTCCAAATAAAGATTACACACAATGGGGGACACAGGTGACCCCATGGCAGCTCCATGGATTTGTTTGTAGAAAATGCCATCATACACAAAGTAAGTACAGTTCAGACATACCTTCAACAAGTCCACCAACTGTTCAGGGGAAAGTTTGGAACGTTGTGGTAAAGTGCTGTCTTCTTTTAGTCTTTGTAAGATTACATCGGCTGCTTTAATTTCTACTGGCACTGAGGTAAACAGAGCTGTCACGTCGTATGAACGTAGTTCCTCGTCTTCCTCTACTCGCTCATGTTTTATCTTTTCTACAAACAGTTGTGAGTTTTTAATGTGATGTACAGTGTTCCCAACTAGAGGGGACAGAGTATCTACCAAGAACTTGGCGCACGGGTACGTGATTGAGCCAATACTGCTCACTATTGGTCTCAGTGGAATACCAGTTTTGTGTATTTTTGGTCAAGACCATAACATTTAGGAGGAACCTCTGTAGTTTGGTATAGTTGTCTGTAAGAAATCCTGTTTAGCCCACCTTTTTTCTCCAAGCGTTGGAGCACAGTCACTAGTTGTTTCTTGTATTTCGATGTACGTCACGGACGTGACGTCACGGAAGCGGTGGATTGCTCATTCCTTGACAAAGACTGGAGTTGTACAGTCGAACATTTGGGTGAGTCCAATTTGTTGTGTTGGAAATTACAGTTTAATCTTACTTCATAAAGATTCTTGTTTATTGTCTGCTAATAACGCATTACAATAACACTCTAGCGTGTCTGACCTTTCACCTCCAGACTCATGAATATCAATAAGATTAGGTTTTAGAGCTTAGCCGTGATTGGCTAGAATATCATCCGGGATAATTACTAGTAGGTGGCCATCTGGCATGCTAGGGAAGACCACTAGCTGCCGTAACAAAGAGTCTGTAGTGAGACGAACGAGAGACACAGCAAGAAGAGACGACGCCAACTTCTAAAGATATACACACAGGTATTTGGTTTCATTCTAAATGTTATATGGATTAGTATCAAATTACGTTACATTACTATAATATATAATTATATAGGTACGGGTTCCATTCTCAACACCGAGACAGCTTCCTCCCTAAATCTCCAGTGCCGAAGTTGTGTCAACAGTGGATGTCCAGCGGCCAAACTACTAGTATGAGCGGCCCCTCATAGTTTCATAGGCATAGACTCGGCCTTGAGACATAGACCCGGTAGTAAGACTACTATAATTATTTCACTCCATACTTCAGTATGGAGTGAAATACTGTTTTTACTGATGATTCTTCTTCTCCTCCTGCCACATCTTTAAATTGATTCAACATTTTTGGGCGAAATTACCTGGAATTTCGTATAGAGGTAGAGTGGGTAAATACCCCTAGGCGTTTTTTTAATTTTTTTTGATACAAGCTTTTACAATCGTTTTATTTGCTTTTTTAGCGGTCCCCATAGGAAAGTACTGTGGGGGCGTACGCGCGTGACGTAATAAGAAAGGAATTCGGCGGCATGCCCATATAAGAGCGGCTGTAATATTAAAGGAGCCGGCGGCTTCTGCTAGCCGGGTTGATAGTTAAGTAACATCAAGGTGGTTCAAAAGCAAACCTGATAAAGAAGGAAACCCCGTAGTTAATAGTTGAAAGTCTTGGTGCCTTGAAGCGATCGATACCGCCATGCTGTTTACTTTTTATGACATACAATGCAGTGAGTGATGTGTATCGCACCGAGTTAGCTCGGTTGGAAACGCGCAAGGCGGCAATCCCAGGCATTGCAAGTTCGAACCCCAGTGCATCGGACATTAATATTTTTAACAAGTTAACACTTTTAACAATTTTATCAGTTTTAACAATTTTATCAGTTTTAACAATTTTAACAATTCTGCATTTTAACAATTTCAACATTTTGTTTTGATTTTCGTTGTTTTGCTTTTAACATTCAAAAACTGATTGTTCTTACTCAAGAATGTCAATAACTTAGAATGTTAGTCTTTTGTATTTTTCCAACATACAAACTAAAATCACTTTGATGTTGTCACAAAAGTATTGAGCTGACAAGAGAGAAGGAATACGGTACTCTGCCAGTGTGAAGAATCTACAGAGGTATTACCAGTCACTAGTAGCAAGAAATAAACCACATTGAATGATGACGATGAGGACGAATCATATGAAGTACTATCATAGCTAGTACAGAAATTCTACGGCTTTACTTTACTTTCTTTCACTCTGTACATGCAATTAGCTCACTGGCATGATTTTAAAAATAAAGGTTATGATAATCATATTATATGTATAGCTTATTCAATGTGGCTAAATAGTTTATGTGATTGTTAATAAGGCCATGTTGATTTGATTGTATGGATGGCATCTGTGCGCGCATCGGTTTTCGCTAATTCAAAGCTAAGTTTACGACAATGATACAAAACATCTGGAAACTAAGCAAACATACTCTGTAAATTGATTACTGTAATTCCCAATTTTTTTCACTGTACCGCAACGTAACACAAGCGGGAGGTCTATGTTCACGGTTTCACTGTCACCTCTGTACCGTGAACTTATCATTACAGTTAGGAAATAATTCCTGGACTTTCTTTTTCCTGCAACTGTCACCACCGTGAATATATAGTTCCGTGAACATGTCCATGTTTCTCAGACCGTGAAAATATATTTTGCTACCGTTAGTAGTAGTTGCAATTTCGTCATTAGTAGTATTTAGATACCTGCAATATATAACTTTGAGATTGAGATAAGTGTAAAGTAAAGCTGTCGAGATTTAAAGTGCTTGTCGTTGTATCTTTGTAAAAAATAAGGGAGATAATGGCCAAGTGCCATTTTTGTAAATATCTGTCGAGATTCAAAAAGCTTGTCCTTGTATAATTACCTTCGCCAAGAAGGTTATGTTTTCAGGGGCGTTCGTGTATGTGTGTGTGTGTGTGTGTGTCTGTCTGTCTGTCTGTCTGTAAACACGATAACTTGAGAAGGCCTTGATGGATTGTCTTGATACTTGGTAGGTGGGTAGGTCTTGATGAGACCTCAAAATGATTAGATTTTGGACCCCCTAGCGGCTTGTTATGGTACTGCAACTGAACTTCCGGTTTTGATATCTCATGATCTAGACATGCTACGGTGATGAAATTTAGATGGTAGGTAGCTCTTGTGCTGGGAAAGAAGTGACGTGAGTTTAGGCCCCCTAGCAGCTTGCTCTGGAACTGCAGGGATAAATTCTTGAAAATATTCAAAAGGGGATAACTCAAGAACCGGTTGACGGATCGTCATAATTTTTGGTATGTAGGTAGCTTACGTGATGCTTAATATAATTATGTGACTATTATGCAAATATGGATGTAATTTGCATAATTTATGGGGAAATTCTATAAATCAGCTGCATTCCATGATAGGACAAATGAAGCTTGTGACATTGGTAATTGACAACGAGAGAAACACAGGAAGATGTTGATTATGCTAATAATGACTTAATTTGCATAATTAATGAGAAAATTTTACAATTATGTATTATGTATACAATTACAAAAATGCTAGAATGCATTCTTTGTTAATATAAGACTGTCTTTTGGTTGAGATTATGATAAAATGATATAATTCATGAAAATTAGGTTCCTATTTCTTAAATCAGGGGAGAATAATCTAATCTAAACTTTGTCAGTTATAAAGATTAACATCATTTGGCGAAGGTATGAGATCGGGGAACTCTAGTTGCAGTATGATTTATTCAGAATCTTCTATTTTTGTATGGGGAGGGAGATGGAGTGAAATATTACATTTGCTCCGAAGCAAATGTTGGCCTTTCTAGTTCCTGATTTTTTTTCACGGTATTTTCACGGTGTTCTCTGTTTTCACTGTCATAACATCTGTACCGTAAACTTATCATTACAGTCAAATTTTAGATAATTCCTGGACTTTCTTTTTTCCTGCACCTGTCACAACCGTGAATAATATACATGTAGTTCTGAGATCACCACCATTTTTCTCAGACCGTGAAATGTTGCTACCGTAAACATAAAGTATGCTGTACTGTTTGCCGACGTGTAAAAGATACAACCCAGCACTCAGCCAGGTTTCCGGTGCTTCAAGTGTAGAGGACATGAGCACCGGAAGCCCAGTGCCAAAGTAATTTGAGAACTCTGATTCCAGCGCCAAAGAGTCACCGATCGATCACTGGAAAATTCAGTGCAGCCGAATTTGTCTGACTTATACTAAAAGTAGGTTCTTTCTGTACATCGACACTGGCTATCCAGTTCTTAATGATCTCCGTCGAGTTCTAGTTAGCCCATTGTATTCCTTGTGTTGAACAGCCAAACCAATTAGTTAAATATAATTACCTTCCGCCACAATAGACCGTTTGAACCTCTTAATAGTTTTTTTTCCGGACACAGTGTTTGTATTGAAGTTGTGCATACGGTCTGTTGGTTTGCCAAACAAAAAGGCTGTTTACTAGTACTGCATGAAAATATGTATGCAGCTCTTCGTATGCAGAAAATAATGCTTTCGGCCCCATCTCTGTGTACATGAACTGTGCTCAATTTTTAAAATGAATTTTCATTCAAACAGCATATAACACAATAGAGATATTGTGTAAATACGATATGATTTTACAATTAGATAAGGCCACAGCAAGTAATTTTTATGGATGACATCCGCGCGCGCATTTATTTTCGCCTGATTTTGGAAGAAAAAAACAAGAAATTTTTTTTGCCGTCTGACAATGGTCAAGATGGGCAAAGATTCTGTTGCCATGCTGGAAGGTGGATGGCAGATAACTATAAAGAAAAGAGACAAGAAAAGACTGATTTAATGTTTGTTTCTCACTTTGATGCAGTGATATGTGATGCTGGCTGTGTATATGTGATGTTCCCACTGAATCAAAACCATTTTTACACTGATTGAGTCAAAATTTTAAACTGTAGGAACCTTGTTTTTTTCGGCCCGCCTTGTTTTTTTTTTCGCCCGCTCGCATTAGATTTGGAGTCTGGGGAGGATGTCATCTATAAAATTTACTTGCTGCGGCCTAACATGCATCGCCACAGTTTTATAGATTTAGATTGGTACAGAATGGATCAGCTTCGACCTATTAAACTTTGAAATGGCGTCTTGCGGAAGTCAAATGAACTGCAGCGGACTAACTACTACATGTATTACAAATGTATAAGAACTAGTTACATAAAGAAGCGCTTGTATACACCAACTAGAGTTATGCATACAGTCCTGGTTTGCCAAGCCAACTGATCGCCAAGTTCTTCGCAGGAATGTTTCAGCCCCTTTCCATTGTGTTCATATGCTAGTACTGTGTGTGGAATTTTAATATTTTTTTCGAACTTTACTTTACAAGATATAGACAAGTAGGGTAGTTTGCTGATAAACGGAGATGCGAGATGATTTTATAACAAGATAATATGCATCGTCACAGCTTAATAGGATCTAACAGATGTATCTGTCTGCTTCTGAATTTTTTGATCGACATGTTTAAAATGACGCTCTGCGGAAGTCAAATGAACTGCAGTTAACCAAGGAGATTTGAAGTACATTTGTACTAGTATCCATGAAATTTAGTTTGAGAGCGCTTGTATCCACCAATTGGATAAACTTCACAGTCTAGATCACAAGGAAGAAAAACCGTTGTATTAATGTTCTTTTTTTATTCAGCTTCTGCTGGTTGTCGCATGGTAAAATTTCTCCAAATACCAAACACCAAAATCCAGTCGTACTTCATAGCACGACATAATTCGGCGTCGTTGTTGATGGATACTACAGTGGTCTGATGTCTTGACCGGTAGATACTAGTATACCCACATTACTCAACAGACACGGCATTGCTTTAAATAAAAAAATCGGATCCTCTTGGGCTTTCGCTGCATTATGGACAGGGGTCTCCCCAGAAACTCTTAAGGGAGAGATGCTCTTTATAATTAATGGGTTGCTAAAAACATTGAACATTTTTGGAGGTGTGCCAGGATTTGGGGGAACGAAGTAGCACCCTTGCTTCATCGCTTGGGGAATGCCCTGATTTGTTAAACAACACATTACCATGGCAACGTGTATATACATGTTGCGCATGCTCACTATGTCCGGCGACTCTTGTCTGTTATCATAGCACAACGATTTTAAAAAGCTTGTACCCAACCTTACCCTGAGTTTAGTTTAGTTTAGTTTATTCAAATACCCTTTAGCCCCATAAGGGGCTAATCTTCCAGGGTTCGTCGACAAACACTTACATATAACAACCAATATATACACAAAATAACATATAATTACAAGTTAGAAATAAAAAACATTCTTGACAGCTTTTAAGCTTCTGGAAGGATTTGGCCATTGGCCTATTACGTTTTCTTCCTCTATAGGATGCAAGCATAGTGAGTCTTTCTTAAAACCGTGGATTTAGTTGTTGTATATTTCTTTGTTGCAGAATCAGGATTGACTGTTGTTACAATGGCGACAAAAGGGTTCGAAGACGTCACCAGGAGTTCTTCGGAGGATTTTGTCGGCAGCTCTACAAAAACGGAGAAGTTAGGCAAAGAGTTTGAAAGTCATCGTGATCTTGAGACAAACATGCGGACTGAAGCAATGGAGAAAAAATACAGGTGTGAGGAGTGCAGAAAGCGGTTCAGTCGGCTGGATCATCTAAAGAGTCATATGCAGACTCACACAGGGGAGAAATCATACAGTTGTGAGGAGTGCAGCAGGCAGTTTAGTGAGCTGGGTAATCTGAAGAGACACATGCTTACTCACACAGGGGAGAAGCCCTACAGATGTGAGGAGTGCAACAAACAGTTCAGAGAACAGGGCGTTCTAAAAAGACACATGCGAACTCACACTGGGGACAGACCCTACAGGTGTGAAGAGTGCAGCAAGCAGTTTAGCGTTCTGTGTAATCTAAAGACTCACATGCGATCTCACACAGGGGAGAAACCCTACAGGTGTAAAGAGTGTGGCAAGAAGTTCAGTCAGCTGGGTAGTCTAAAGACACACGCACGCACTCACACAGGGGAGAAACGCTATAGATGTGAGGAGTGCAGTAGACGGTTCAGTCAGCTGGTTGGGTTGAAGAGACACATGCTCACTCACACAGGGGAGAAATCCTACAGATGTGATGAGTGCAGTAGACATTTCGGTAACCTGCATAATCTGAAGATGCACAAGCGCACTCATACAGGGGAGAAACCCTACAGATGTGAGGAGTGCAGTAGACAGTTCAGTCACCTGGGTTCTTTGAAGAAACACATACGGACTCACACTGGGGAGACACCGTACAAGTGTGAGGCGTGCAGTAAACAGTTCAGTGAGTCGGGTCATCTAAAGAGACACATGCGCACTCACACAGGGGAGAAACCATACAGGTGTGAGGAGTGCAGCAGGCAGTTTAGTAGGCTCTATGTGCTCAAGATGCACATGCGGACTCACACTGGTGAGAAACCCTACAGGTGTGAGAAGTGCAGTAGACAGTTCAGTTTGCTGGGCAGTCTGAAGACACACATGCGGACTCACACTGGTGAGAAACCCTACAGATGTGAGGAGTGTAGCAGGCAGTTCAGTCAGCTGGGTAGTCTGAAGACGCATATGCGAATTCACACAAGGGAGGAAACCCTATAGATGTGAGGAGTGCAGCAAACAGTTCAGTCAGCAGGGGAATCTAAAGAGGCACATAAAGACCCGCCAAGCTACGTAATCAGGCAGTCTTGGGAATGTTTTTGTTCGGTTGTTGGCACAACGACAGAGGTCTTGCACCGGAGACGGTGCAAAAATAGTACTTACAGAGCAAGACTATATACTCCTGGTCTAAATAAATGGTTACGAAATGTCCAGTGATTTTGGAAACCTTAACAATCTTTTAACCACAACTTGATCAAAAGAATTCTGTCATGTGAAACGTACTCTGTAGCAGAAGAAAGCAGACTGTAGCTCAGGATTGTTCATTCTAAATGTTCGTTCATTAAAATTTCCAGCCGATTATGGTTTACTTCTGTTAGTTCACATTTGGAAAATTTGTCTTGTTTTAGGTACCACTAACTGTTGTAGTGATTGTAATAATGTAGATGATGTGATGTTTGCTTAACCTTTGTCAGTAGATGAATGTTAGTATTAGATTCTGTAAATTCGATGTACCTACGACTCTATGTTGTTGGTTGGTGGTGTCGACCACCTTTCTATATGACGTGTCTTATTTCCTTATGATGTGTCAGCATTGCAAACATGATAAGTGTACAATAGTTATAATAGCTTGTTAGAAAATGTATGTGTAGACTGAGTGTAGCGTATGGCTACACGTACGTGTGTTCTACTTATATGGTGACCCTCTTGTTGAGTTTTTGTGTTGTAGCAATAAAGCTAGGCACACATAGGACAAACCTGCACTAAGTTCTCTGTATTCAGTACAGGTGTGTTTGTTTATGCCTGATTGTTATGTTATGAATACAGTTATTTCTTGTCATAAAACTCACTAGTGTTAGTGCCCTGTCTCTTGTAGAATGGGACGGTTATTCTAATAATAACCTCTAAGTTATTTTTGAATAACTTAGAGGTTACTATTAGAATAACCGACTACTTTTGGCACCGTCCCATTACAACAGGAGACGGGACACTAAAGGTTACGGTTTAATATGTATGTGAAAAGGAGCCTATTGATTGGTCAACGTCTTCTGGTTATATGATGATATTCATTACACATTAATATGTTTACTCACCCAAAACGCATTCATAACAATTTGACCACGTTAAGGTGGTTCATAATATCCTAAGTCCTAAATTTGTAACACTAGACGAATGCTTCCAATGTATTTAAAGACTGTAATATAGAATAATTCAAAATTTCTCTTTTTTATTCATTTTGTGTTGATATAATTTCGGGATACACCTTTGCTTTAAAGCATTCTAAGGGAATTTCATTCTGTTTTCAGCCCTAGAGCTTACCGTGACACGTTCAAAATAATCATGTTCATCAAGGAAGCTATATATTCAATTTCTCGGACAGTTAATGTAACCATAACAGTTTAGCTACCGTAATACTGCAATGCAGCTAACATAAGTAAATTACACACAGGTAAAGAATAATGACAAAGTAACAGCTATAATGCAAAAAATGACTCAAATACAATTAGGAAACGATACAGCTATAAAGTCCATATATATATATACATAGCATTGTTATAAACAATTAGAAATATTTGTGTCATATGGTCTTCAACTATCGAACAACGGGAAGGGCCATATAACATACTAAAAGTGATCAGTGAGATGATACCATTACTAGCTCCAACCATAAAACTATTACGTGTATGCCTCATAAATCTCAACAAGATTGGATTATAAAGCTGAGATGCGATTGACTAGAATATCGGCCAGGATAATGAAGTAGCCAACTGGAATGCCAGTGAAGTAGCTTGTAAGGAGCTTGTAGTGAGACAAATGAGAGACCAACTAGGAAGAGACGACACCACTGAGACGCCCGAAGATCTAGAGGTATTTGGTTTCATTCGATAACGGGATGTGCATTAATAGCGTCCAGGTGTGTTACATTAAGACCAGGTATTAGAGCTACATTACGTAAAATGTAGGTTTTTTTTTTGATCGGACGAAAACAGTGAACCAACCAAACTTGGCTAGTGGCACACAGTAGATCCTCGGATCATTTCATTGTTTACTATGATACATGTAGACTTTTGTATTCAAAGCGGTCTATTTGAAGATCATAAGATCTTAAAAATCTGTCATAGCAGCTAGCGCTAGCGCTAGGTCAACATATGCCTATCTATGGGGTCCTTAGTGAAAGTTCCATTGGTACGACACCTGCTCAATCCTCCTATCGTCGCCAATTACTAAAACCCATACCATTCATGATGTTACCAGACGACCTTTGTTCAGTACAAAAAAAGATAACCAACAAAATGAGACAACTAAACGGCCCATCGAATACAACTGGTGCGAGGCCAACCCGTAAGGTAGGTTCTGGACAACAACAAAAGTTTGACAAGCCTCTATAACGTACTTGTTTTATTGTATTAATAAAAAAGTGAGATATACTTTAAAATCCAATGTACTGTAAGTAAAACCATGTGAAAAGTCTGTGTTCCTTAAAAGCTGCTCCCTTTCATCTATGGTCTTTTACTGTAATTTCAGTTTGATATGATGACAGTAGTAGACTAGTTTGGATACTATCATTTATCTTCTTGTTGAAGAAAACAAGTTAACATGTTGTCTGGAAGTAACGCATTACAATAAACTCTGACGTGTCTGGCCTTTCAACCCCAGGGTTATGAATATCAATAAAATTAGAACTGAGACGCGATTGGCTTGATTTTCAGAGAGTATAATTATGTAGGCAGTTGGGCGCAAGACAAGTAGTTGTAAGAAGGAGCTTGTAGTAAGACGAAGGAGAGACACAACAAAAAGAGACGGCACAAACTCGCAAATATTTACAGGTATTCAGTTTCATTCTTTAACGTTATATGCACTAGTCATCTATTCATGAGGCAGTTGGGTTTTGGATTCATTCTACGAACTTTATAAAGTTATATTAATTAGTAACGTTACGTTAGGATAAAAAGCTTTTCAATCACCTTGTATATATATTTGTAGTTTTAGATCTCCAAAACAGAAACAAATAAAAACGTTTTAATAGATATTTGGCTTTGTGGTAAATGATCATTTATTACCACACAGTAGACCACTGGACCCTCTTTATGATTCTATCAGACTACAGTGGCACAGTATTTACATGTTGTTTTTCCTCATGTTTCTTCTCCTTCACCTGCCATTTCTTTTTAAAGAAATTTAAAATTGATTCAACTCCTTCATTTTTGGGCCAAATAATAACAATAGTAATAACATAAATACCAATAGTCCGTTCCAATTTGTCATTATTGCATTTTTGGCATTTGGAAGTTATAGTGGCATTATTGTGTAACATTATTGCACCAAAACTTGAAATGTTTTATTTAAAGAAATTCACCTGATTGTGATAAACTTTGAATTCCTATTTTCAACATATCTGTGCAGTTATCTCGCATTTATGGCATTTGTGGTTGGCGCGTTTAAGGCCACAGCAAGTAATTTTTATGGATGACATCCTCCCGCGCATTAATTTTCGTCTGATTTTGGAAAAAAATAAGAAATTTTGTTGCCTTCTGACAGTGGTCAACATGCCGAAAATGGGCAAAGATGTCTGTTGCCAAGCTGGAAGGCACATAACTACATGTAGGAAGAGGGGAGACAAGAAAAGGCTCTGATTTAATGTTTTGTTTCTTACTTTGATGCAGTGATATGTGATGCTGGCTGTGTATATGTGATGTTCCCACTGAATCAAAACCATTTGTACAATGATTGAGTCAAAATTTTACATTGTAGGAACCTTGTTTTTTTTCGGCCCGCCTTGTTTTTTTTCGCCCGCTCGCATTAGATTTGGAGTCTGCGGAGGATGTCATCCATAAAATTTACTTGCTGTGGCCTAATTAATAAAACAGCTAGCCCACACAAGGAACATTCAATTTGCGGCACCGCAAACTACCAGAATGTAAACAAACACGACAGAAAGCTGCGTTTCAAGATGTCCTGCTTTAGAATATAACCCAACACCACAGGTCTGCTACAACACCAGTTACCATGGTGACAGATGTCTGGGCTATGCCTGTATCAATTGTTGTTCCTTTACAATCCTAACTACCAGCCTTTACTTAAAGGGGGTATTACTTAACAGATTTGGACCAATAATTTAAACATTTCAGTTGAAATAAAGTTACATCCACTAATTTGTGCAATTATCTCCCATTTCTAACATTCATGGTTGGCACTAACAAGTCCCACACAAGGCGCACTGAGTTTGCGGCACCACCGCAAACTACCAGAATGTAAACAAACATGGCTGACAGCTGTGTTTTCAGCTTTTAAACACACATACAGGGCGTCATATTTTGGCACCTGCACTTCCTGAATATCGTATATGATAGGGTTGATTCAACTTAATTACAGTACACTTTATAAAGAAATGACCAGAAAATTTACTTTTGTATCGTCCTATTAAATGATGCATGCTTTAAGTGGAGGTAGATATCATAAACTTCTTGAAAATTCTTATAACAGATCATTCATATGTCTGTCCAACTTTTTTCATTAGTTAGATCTATTCCGATCTAGATCTAGTCCGTCTTTAGTCATATCTATTCCGATCTAGTAGATCTAGTCCGTCTTTAGTCAGAGTTATTCCGATCTAGATCTAGTCCGTCTTTAGTCAGATCTATTCCGAACTAGATCTAGTCCGTCTTTAGTCAGATCTATTCCGATCTAGATCTAGTCCGTCTTTAGTCAGATCTATTCCGATCTAGATCTAACCCGTCTTTAGTCAGATTTATTCCGATCTAGATCTAGTCCGTCTTTAGTCAGATCTATTCCGATCTAGATCTAGTCCGTCTTTAGTCATATCTATTCCGATCTAGTAGATCTAGTCCGTCTTTAGTCAGAGTTATTCCGATCTAGATCTAGTCCGTCTTTAGTCAGAGTTATTCCGATCTAGATCTAGTCCGTCTTTAGTCAGATCTATTCCGAACTAGATCTAGTCCGTCTTTAGTCAGATCTATTCCGATCTAGATCTAGTCCGTCTTTAGTCAGATCTATTCCGATCTAGATCTAGTCCGTCTTTAGTCAGATCTATTTTCTTCCCAGTACTGAGTCTGAGCTGCACGGGCCTGTCTTGAGAAGTTGAAGGAGCGCTGTTTGGAACTCCTGAATCCCAACCTCATGGTAACCTGTAGGAAACAGGAATAACAGGATATCAAAATCGGATAGTCTGCTCAGTGCTGTAACAAGGAAAGACACCAAATTGCATAATTTCATCTCTAGGTCAAGGCGTACATACCTACCAAATTACATGTCATTGACAATTCAACCTTTAGCTTTCTGAGTTATCCCGCTGAACCAAAACATACATCCAAACGTCCAAATGCTTAGAAAGATTCTAGGTTGTTTGTTCTCTGTTATTACATTTCACCCATACTATAGTATAGGAGAAATGTATTGCTTTCCATTTGGGGATCTGGAGCCCTTGTACTAAGACTAAATGACCTGAAATTTGGTGTGGAAATACCTTGGACACGTATCTACAGAATGATATCCAAGCTTTTGACATATGCCACTTAAATTTTTTAAATAAAATATGGCTTTTTGGCAATTTTCAGACAAAAAAGTACATTTTTGGCTCCTGTGCCCTTTGGCTCCTATTAAATCCGAATGACATTTTGTATATAGCTATGTAAGAAAATTAATAACTGTTGTAACAAACTCAAGTAATTAAAAAATGCCATACCCTGCCGATATTTGTTTGAATTTGAAGTTTTTGAATTTTACCTGGAAAGTCGTTGATGTCGATGATGACGTGTTTTCCGGTTCCGTCTTCCACGATGACGTCAATCCCTATCAGGCTGGACCCCAGCACCCGTCTGGTCGCTTCGGACATCCGGGATATCTTCTCGGCAGACGTCGGGCGGGTTTGGCTCGTCGGTTCGCCATGTTTTCCCTGAAATAACAAAAAAGATCGGAGATTATATCTTCTTCTTTAATATTATTAATTATTGTCTGTTCTGTGACGTGACCTTCGAGTTTACAAACCTCCGGAACGTATTCTGGGTTTCAAGAATGTGTTTGAACCGTAAAGGGGATTGTATGAAGTACTTCATTACACCACTTCCTGAATTCCTCCACATACCGACCACTAACTCCCACCTGGTGCGATCTGTGTTACCTTCAGGCTTGACCTTCCGGTCAATCAACAGTCCAAATCACCTTCCATCCAACCATGTCATGTAAAGTTACCTCGGCCACCCAAAACAATACTTCGTACCGTAAGTAATAAATGCGGAGTGCGAATATTCAAGATGTAACGCATGGTCATTGTCCAAAATGTTACGGTTGTAAGGCTGGTATACGTTTTTCTGCGTAAGAGCACTGCTGCAGGGAGCATTGAAAATAACCTGCAACAGAGAAATTTTACCTGCAAGCGCAGATTTTATCAGGTATACCAAACTAACTATGTACACAATACAAGTGCAAGTTAGGTGTACTACGGTAGACATTAGAAATATCTGCACAGACATAATCTGCATAATATGCACTTGGTATTTCAAGCCCTGGTTGTAGATGCCCAGTGAATAAACATATCGCAAAAGTTGGTTTGTTCTACTTACAGCATTTAATGGCGACACGGAGTTGGCTTTTGCCACTTCGGACGTAGAGAATTCAACATTGGGAAGATCATCTATAAGAAAATAAACATTTACTGCACGTTCTTGCCCATATGCAGTAGTTATACTATTGCAATGGTACGATGAATGTAACGTGAAAAGGTAAAGACTAAAAGTAAAATATCATTGCATGTATACATGTAGTGTTGAAATCAACAAGGAAGACAAAAGAGCTATGCATATTGATATGTGATATCACTATCGTAAACACCGATAACATTATGAATTAAATCATGCAAATCATGAATTAAACACGCTTTGGTAATTTAGGTTTGGTGGTGAGGCAGAGCAAAAACAACACCTAAAACTACCTACCCTGGGTGCCAGACTAGTATCGGGCCATTAGCCGTTTTCCTGTTTTTCTTCGGCAGCCAAGAGCCCTTCGCCCACTGACCTAAATTACCGCTACGGGGAATTGAGCCCAGGGGGAGCCAAACTGCCACCAGGCTAGACTCCCCCGTAGCGGTAATTTAGACAGGCGGGCCAAGGGCTTCTGGCTGCCGAAGGGAAACGGCTAGCGGCCCGAAACGAGTCTGGCATCTGGGGTAAAACCTACCGGACATCGCGAAGTTTCTCAGGGAAGGTCGACAGTAGACGAAATGAGCATCCCCGATCACGTACATCTGTGGAAATACAAAATGTATTCATTCATTGATAAGATCTAAGATAAAGACAAAAGATTTACAAAAAAACGGACGTTCTGCTGCAGTATCAAAGACAACCACCAGGAGGCCTACATTTAACCTTCATCTTTCGAACCTTCCAAGACCTACCAACATACCAAATATCATCACAATCGGCCATCATGACTTATGTTGTGCCGACCACAATCTGCGTAAACACAAACTCTCTCTCTCTCTCTCTGTGTGTCTCTCCCTGTCTCTCTCTCCCTGTCTGTCTCTCTCACGCACGCACACAAACAAACCAACAAGACTGGCAATGAAAAATACATCGCCATGGCGACGGTGATTGCTGTCAGGGTTATTGTTTGCATGACACTGCCATGATTTCATGATTTTGAGGAAGCCTTGGTACCATACCCTCCCCTGAGTGTATAGTAAACAATAGCCCAGGGGTGACAGAAATCAGACCATGATGCTCGCGGATGATTGATTGATTGACAGAAAGTAGAGAATGGGGGGGGGGGCAGACAGGTTTCCCCAAGGGTTTCCAGGAATGTGGGCATGTCAACAAACAAAGCTGGGAGACATTCCTGTGGACATTCCATGCCTGTGGACAAAATTTCTATACGATTCCTAGAATTCTTGCAAATTGCACACAATACTGTACCATTAGAATCCTCCCTGAGACGTCGCCAAAAACATTACCTCTTTCATGGGGGGGGGGCATGATGGCAAAAAACTGGAATGAAAACGATTGACTTGACTGACCTTATGGAGAATTCCTGAATGGTTGAAGAAGCTCTCGGCAGCACACGGTAAATCTAAACCTTCCAAACCGCGTCTTCCAAACACCAGCTTCATCTGAAAATAATATTTACGGATTTGTAAATGAAGCGTAAAGATATAAAATATGTTTACGTCGTATTTAAGCACACTGGTGAAAGGCGACGGAAATGTGGAATTTGCCTTTCAGCAGCCTTTACGAAGTCGTAAAGTCTACTGAAAGATTTCCTCACCTTTATATTGCGGAAAGTTTGCTTAAATTTCTGTTTTCGTGCTTTGAATCAACGATGTCACGCAGATAACGACATAGCTTCAGACATTGGAAGCAAAAAGTACATTTAGTTCTTGGTTGATTTTTCTCTCAATACTATAAGCAGTAAATTTTAATTGTAAAAGACATAGTAAATGATAATAGAAAAAGATACTAGCTAATAAGTGATGAATGCAACAATATGATACATCAAGAACTAAGTTATATTTTGCACTCAAAACTATCTAGCCATTAAAATACTACTGTATACAAGGGACAATAGTTAATTGTTTGGCTTACCAAAATGTATGCAAACCATAAACAACTAGGATGGAAAAGAAATAATACTCACTCTATGATGAGATTGTGCTAGAAACGATGCCGATTTGCATACTGGACAAGAGAAGCCAAATAAGAGTCATGAAATGCAATTTCAAGGTGGCAAAAAGAAATATTTACATTTACAACCATTTCATAGCACATACTTGTCATTTTTTTCAAACCAGAAGTGTTTGTATAGCCCGAAAACAGCGCTACTTGATCCGTCTTTTTGGGGGAGGGGGATTAAATAGCTAGCCAACGATACAAAAGAAGCACCATGAAAACATTAAAAGGAAAACACTCACAAACGAACCTATTTGTATCAGTAGGCAACTGCGTTCGGTCAACAACTTGCACTGTTATAGAACCCGTTTTGCCGCTAAACAGTCTTTTGTGCTAGACAAACCAAGAACTAACGCACTGATGAAGTGTTTCATGTACAGGGCTGTTGGTGTGTGGAATAACCTTCCAATTGTTATGCAATCCACACAATCCCTGAGAGTGTTTAAGGACGGTTTGCACAAATACTTCTATCAGTAGCACACCAGCACTTGTTCGACAGGATTGTTTGTCTGTTTTTTTTAAATAATTGTGTATTGTAACTATGTTATAGATTTAGATGTTGTTTTGTGACTCTGTCAACTATGTAACATTATGTATATATGTATTGTATGTATGTATGAATGAATGGACCCCAGGGTCCACCGCTAATAGTTATAAATTTTCAACTATTTTCTGTGAGCAACATAGCATACTTATATACCCCACAGGTATATAAGTATGCTAGGATAGACTTAGCTTACTAGTATACTACTTTAAAATCCAGTTTTTCCGACCGGAAGTTGCATAGTTAGACAAAATGCTATGTATGAAATAAACGACCTTTATCGTTCATTCATGCCCTTTCGGGCTAAGTACAGGTGAACAGATGAAATAGGTAAGATACATGTTTGTAGTACAAACAGCTCTAAAACTACTCTAATACACAGGTTCGGCATCTTCTCGTTTCTACGGTGATGTTAAAAATGTAATTCGAAATGGGTTTGTATAGTACAGAATGATCAAAGCGCATAAGAAAAATAAATTTTTCAATATTAGACAAGTATTGGTATGATAATGGATGCTTTACATAATCGCCAGACATCCCAAATAATAATTCTGTACTCACAAAACGGGAACTTCACGCCTGCCTCCTCCAAACGTTTCGTCATATTTTCTACTCCGGTGGTTTCTAGATAGACTCTGTTTGGCACGATAATGTCGGGATCTGCTTGTACAATGATGGCAATAGTGGCGTTACAACGAATAGAAGTAATGCTTCATTAGACCAAGACCAAAATATCGCAAGTTTTCAAAACCTAAGTACTGCAAAACGCATGTTCATTCATTCATTAAATTTCGCTATAAATTGTTAGCCTGGGTACCATCTAGCCTGTACCAGGCACCGCGGATCCCTGGAGAAACAGTAGAAATTGGCCGAAATTAAGGGATAGTATACCAGAGAAGATCCGGCCACAGTCAAATTTGTGGCCCGTGTCCGGATCTTCTCTTGTATACTATCCCTTTATTTCGGCCAATTTCTTCTATTTCAGCGATCCGCGGTGCCTGGTAGAGGCTAGGTACCATCCTGGTTAAACGCTCCGCTCCCACAGTCGCTGCCACCAAACATGGATAGTACCCAAGCTAAGAAATTGTGACGACGTAGATTAAACTCATTATGCAAAAGTTTTTGACCCGACCCTTTCGCACATGTGAAAGTGATCTCGAACCAGTTTAGCTGACTTAAGAGCTAATCTTCCACTAGTCGTGACAGAGAAGACAGACGCTATGTACAGTATCTACAAGTTCATTGTATCGGGGAAATTCCCCTGGCTCTTTTCGACAAGCACAGTGAACAGTGGACCACGGCTTAACGTCCTGTCCTAAGGACTACGATCCTAAACAGTAGCGTGCATGTCGGGTGAGCGACAACAGCCGGGATTCGAACTCCCAGCCTCTTAGTCCAGAGGCAGGATTGCTAATTATAACCACCGGACTACGCACGCTACATATTTTAACACTATTTCATTGCCTAATTTGTTATTAACGCGAAAACTTGCCGTACCGTTGAGTAGCTTCACCACGTCTTTCGCAACCCTCTGAGCCTGAAGCCGGTCATGGAGCAGCCGCCAGGAGGCCAGCGGATTCACCACTACCATGCGGGGATGACGGGACATGTAGTCCTGCAAAATCCAGCAATTAATCCATCTATCAAGATATTTATATTCAAAATTGGCACTGTACTATTAGAAACAATTAAAAACTTTCCGTCCTTTCTACCATAGACAAACATTATAAACAGGACAACTACCTTTCACACATAAAACGCCTTGATATACGAAGAGCAATCACAAAACTCAGGATTGGCTGTCACAAATTAAGTATAGAAACAGGAAGATTTCAGAAAATACCTGCTGACCAGAGGGTTTGTCCATTCTGTCCAGAATCAATAGAAGACGAATACCACTTTTTGATTGTTTGTCCCAAATATTCTGATATACGTAATTCATTATATGCAACTATATCAACTTCTATACCAGAATTTCTCGTCATGAATTCATCTAGCAAATTCAGATACTTGTTGACTTTTGACAATCCATACATTGTGAATATAGGACAGTATTTTAAAGAATGTCTGAACGTAAGAAATTCTGTTAATGATTGTATAAGCGCCTTTTCATCCCATATCACCTAGTATTGTACTACGTAGACTGATTTGTTAGATTTGTTCTCTCATTTCTGCCATACGTTGTACCTTGTACATTGTTGCGTAATAAAAGTCTATTTTTTCTATCTATTAATTAATTCATCTATTAATAATGAAAACAGAAGCAATCGGATCCATCGCGACCACGTCTAGATGAAAGCCCAACTAATCTTAAAAATCGAGCAATCAGAGAATTGTTCAATTATTCGAAATGTTCATATCGATAAATGGAACTAGGTAAGTGAAAGTAGGTATGAGTCAGTAGGAATAGAAGAAATGGAAAAAATATTATCTTTTTTTATATTCTAGTTCAGGCTAAAAGAAATGAAACAGCCTTACCGTTAACTCGGTCATGAATGATCCCATCTGATAGTCTCCGTCTCTCGCCCCGCGTACGATATCCGTCAAGTCGTGAACAAACACGTCGAACGGACCCTGGGCAGCTACCGAGCGGTTTGTGTACACCTGGGATATAGTAGATAACAGGGCTTGAAATACTGGGTGCATGTGCACCTTATGCTGGGGTCTCAATTCTCATACGGGGCCCGGCCGGGCAGCTTTTGGGAACGAACACTACGATACAGAAGACAACAAAACATCGAAAAGTTCTTAATAACAATCATGGGCTCTATTTCTCTATATTCTTGATAAGAATAGTTAATTTTTCGTTCGTACAAACAGCCCGGCCGGGCCGGGGTTTGGAAATGTGACCTAAGCATTAGTGCACCCAAAATTGAAGTTGTGCACCTGATTCTGTGAGTGCACTGGTGCACCCAAATATTTTTGTAGGAATTTTTAACATTTGAAGTGTGTATAATAGTATACCGGATATTCTTGGTCTCTAAGTATCAGAGAAAAAATAAAATCTTTGTTGTAGTAATGTTTAAGATTTTGCTCTCATTTTAGATTCAAGCTCAAAAGAGGAGCAGTAAGACCTGCAACTAGGTTTGTTTCATTCGGTGCACCCAAGAAATTTTCGGTGCACCAAATTTTTTAGGTCGGGTGCACCAGTACACTTATTCCCAAAAATGAATTCAAACCCTGCAGATAGATTTTTTTTTCAGATCTCGCTGGCGCTTTTGGCCCAATCACCAAGCCGATTTTTCGGTGGCCCTCACAATGTCCAATTGGCCAGACAGTATCAAATGAGCTAAGTACATTCGGATAGTACGTTGCAACAATGGGATATACTGCCTGGCTAATAGACTGGACAGTGTTTGGGCTACGGAAAGTTCTGCTTAGAGATAACATTGAGACCTTCCAATCTGATGATGACATCAGAGAGACAAAAAGTGGATATGATTCATCGTGTAAAATATGAATTAAAAGAAACAAAATAGACTAAGCGCATGAAATACTCTTCTTTGCCAACAGAACTCGTTTGATGAGACAGTTGGTCTATCAATATATAACTGAACATATTAACGTATCAATTAAAGTAAATCCATACAAAATTAAAAAATACGAATAACAACTTAGAAAAAAAAATCAAATTTCCCAAGACAAAAAAGACAAAGAAGAGCGTTCTAGCACGAAAATCGACGAATCAAATGAAAAACCAAAGTATATGTAAAATCGGTTGCTTGTCATCCAGACCTTAAAACGTGACACCCATGCAGTTTTATGATATCTTGGTTTGAACACAATATTACCTTTATCAAGTCGATTCCGCCATCACTAAAAAGAAACAAAAATCAAGATTTGGTACTGATCAAAAAGAACAATTATAGCTATTCTGTACAATTTTGCAACTTTTGTTAGAATCTACACTTCGTCAAGTTACCTCCTTGATCAAATAGGGGACAGCTGAGTGGAACAGAGACGCCGCCTACCATTCCTATTGCGAAGTGCATGAGTGTGTTATCCTTAAACAATTCTCAATGACTGAAACAACATACTATTAGATAGATTAAAGATGCAGGTAGATTTAAGCAATGAAGTACAGATACAAGAAGGAAAAGTAACAGGACAGCAGTTGGAAGAGAAATTTCGAACGACGAAAGAAACTACTGGTCGAAAAAGGAAAGAAGTTACAATACAAACAAAAATCGACAATGGAAACCGACAATCGAAAAGGAAAGAAGTTACAATACCAAACAAACACTGACGAACGGCTGACTGTTTCCAAACCTGGCCAATTGCTAAAAAAGAAACTGTCATCTTGGTATCAAATTACATGTATCTGGATGTCTAACCTTCAACGACGAAACAAAAATGAACAGTTCAAATAACAATAACAAAGAAATCTACCTGTAATTTTTCTTACACGTGTGTAGCTGAAGGCGGTTTTCTTTCGATTCTGACAAGAGGTAACCGACTCGACAACTTCTGTTCTTCTGATGATCACTCATTGGTGTTATGGTATACACCCTCGCAGGGAAAATGGCTGTAAAAATATTAACTCATACATTTATTGAATTGATAAAAGTTATGATACAGCAAAGAGGAACGTGCACGTGCTACAAATGCTACCAAGTCATAGACGAGTCCACTCCTCCTGTATATTGGTACGGTCAACTGACCAATTATTCTGATAACTGACCCCTTTGGATTATTATCAACCAGTTGTCAAGCTTTCCATGGCATTATGGTGTCGTAACCAATATAATTTTGATCGGTCAACGCTACGTCATGTGGCTATTCCATTTCATGCAAGAAGGATATATAATCTAAAATCTCTGTTAAACTTTTTGTGATGTATTCCACTTTGCTTGCTTGTAACTGTATCGCAATCGTTGCTGAGTTGTAATAGTTATTTCTAAACCAGGTTGAAGCCAGGTACTTTCACGGGGATTGAGGTACAGTTTCTTTCAGGGCATGCTTATCCTTTTGTTTTATATTCCAACATGTAATCACAAGACGTGGTGACGGCACACTCAAGTTTTTCAACTTATAT